GTTCGCTGATTGGATAATCCTTTCGAGGAGGTTACACCGATGCAAGGGATCGGAGACAGTGTCATTTGATGTAAAAATATGCAAGCGCCTATCGATGAGGGAGAAGTGGAATGTGTTGGAAATGCTGAAACAGCCAGGTGCAACTCAGAGCTCCGTAGCTAAATTACTTGGAATTTCACGAAAAACTGTCAACAATGTTGTATCCCATCGAATAACTAGCGTGGAAGTTTTCAACGCTGGAGCATCTGAGGGAAGATGCCACCTGAAAACCAACGAAAAATTCAAGGCAGTGAATGAGGCAACTTTGGCTTGGTTTACGGCTATGAGGGAAAAGCATGGAGAGTTCTCAATGGTGATTGGAAAGTTTCAAACTCCATGATGCCTCCGAAGTATAGATAAAAAAATCTTCCATGCAGTTGTAATTCTTTAAAGAACGCATGGGTGACTACATTATTTCACAGTTGGCTGTCCGATGTCAACCGCAAAATGGTTTCTCAAAGGCTCTCTATTTTATATAATTTGTAATTTTGAAAACAGCGATGTCGATACAGGTGAAAATAAGCCGACATTTCGGTTACCGTGGGTAACCTTTATCAAGGCGATTCTCTATTTTACTATTTACGGACAACACCGCTTGCCATAACCAAGCCGCAGTATTCTCCAACGTCAAATTGATACGGCTGCCTCCGAATTGTTCTTCAATGTTACAATCAATGGATCAGGGCGTGATTTAGTCTTTCAAATGTTCGTTTCGGAAATATTTACTGGAATATGTCCTGTCTTTGTTCGAAGATGAACAATTTATCATGAAAGCCGAGGTGGACATTCTCATGGCCATTCATCTGGCCAAGAAAACTTGGATTTCTGTGCGCCCGCACGTACTGATCGGCGCTTTCATGAAAGCTGGGTTCAAATCCACGTTGATTCAGCCGGTGATGCAGCCACTAGAGGATAAATGCGATTTGTTCGAGGATTTTACTCATGACGTGTCTATTGATGACAGTCTTTTTGAAGAAGAAATCGCCTGTTTGGAGTTTGATGAAGAAAGTGGGTTATTTAAAATTTTTGTATCAAGTATCTTTTTTAGTCATTAGATGAATTCGTTTCGAATCAAGCAAAGCATCACAAAGAAGATGATCGTGAGGCAGTGAATGCGCCGGAAGTTATCTCAATCAGAGAGACGCAGAAGTTATTGGATCAATTGAAACTCTTTGCCTTGGTTAATACTCGGACTTCGGGTCGATTACTGGAGTGTACAATTGATCTAAACAGCGCGTTTGTTGATTTCCAACGAAGAGCCAAGCTGAGACAAACGACGATTTGTAATCTGCAAAGATTTTTGCAATTCTGTGGTGCACTGAACTGAAATGTGAGGCACTCGAATGTGGTCATTTCTGCCACAGTGGTCACCAAAGCCACGGTCATTCGGCCTATCAATGGGCTCTGTAGCACTGACGTGCAAGCGGGTGAACGATATCTGCGATTGACTGGTAAGCGGGTGAGTGGAGTGAGATATCAGATCCGAACGATCGATAAACACCGTCACACGCGTGTATGGATACTATGAACAATTCAGTAAGGAGTGTACAACACACAGGTGGGGAAAGANAAAGACAGGTGGTGGTGGTGGGAGTCAAACACACGTCCTCCGGGGTGATAATTTGGTGACGTTACCACCGGGCAACCACCGCACGAATATAATTTTTTCCGTAATATTTCTTCTTTCTCTCTTTCGAAATACCCGACGTAGATAGCGAGATCGTTCAACGCGAAACCAACCAGTTGGGAAAAAACAAGAAGAGTTTTGCGTGGGCGTACATGAGGGGATATTATTGTCCGTTATTAAGACAATTTCAAAGTTTTATTATGATTATCTGTTTACCGAACCCGTTTCGAAAAATAGGGCGTGTATCTTAGATAAGTCAAACATTGGCCCAGTGTCATTATCGCTTGAGCATTTTCCATTCCAAATTTCCCACATGACGCGCCGTTCCACAACTGATTCTCTTGTGGTGATTCTCCACCAACACTTAGGCAGCATCGGATTCGGAACCTATTGTGGTGATCCAGACTTCTGTGACCGCAATCCATGCACAACTAGGTACAGTTTCATGTCATCCAATCCATCTACCGGGCGAACATGACATCCGAGTTAGCACATATGATACATCGGTGCAAACGGTTATGTGATTAGAGGATGCTCGTTCAACCAATCATATGAACTATTACATTCTATAAAACATGATATAATTCTATCAATAAACATAAGCATTTGCTGCTATCAATTCCTCGTGTATTTCATTGGTGTCCGCAGTTCGGGTTGGAGCCAATTCAATGCTGAGCAGTACAGTACGGGTTCTCGTATTCCTAAATTCAATACTATTTCGATTACCATACTTATCCTCCCCCTGTTCCGGCCCGAAAATCACACGACCGATCGAGTTCATTTATCGATCGGTCGAATGGTTCAGCCGCAACAACGGACCTGCCGCTTACCCAGCTAACCCGAGCGGGAAACCACACCTTTTTTGCAGCCCTACGTCTCAGGCAGGCCCAGTGAACTTCGACTGTGCTGCAGGAGTGCCATCAGCACACGGATGGACTTGGCGTAACAACCAGAGCATTACAAAGCGTACAAGCCGGTAATCAGACAGTCTCGTGTTGGGTTGAGGGATTTTAAGCGCCGCAGATCGCGGACTATGATTCAATCAGATCACAGAGAGGGTCAGAGGGAATTTACTTGTTTAAGGTCACGGATGAGAAGGACGAGACGATGATAAACGATGGAGCATTCGCACTGTACAACCCCCAGTCTTCAGCAGGCCCAGTGAACTTCGGCAGTACAGCAGGCGTGCCTCCACCCCACGGATGAACTGCACATGACAAAATGATCACAAGACAATGTGAAACGATGGAGTAATCATACTATCCACATAGCAACATGACAATTGATACTCGGACATCTTAAATTGAAAAAGGAATTTTTTATGAATTGTGTCGAACCTAGTCCAAACAACAGCGGTCATGGTGAATGCATCAATCGGTTTTAACATACACTGGCAACATCAAAATCGAACGAACGAATAGATGTCTACAGCCGCTGATAATACACATTTTTCACTAGATCATGAATAGATTGCGCAGTGGACAATCAGTTTGAATATAGGAAGGAATTCAATGTTTTGAGTATACTCGGTAGCAGATATTTCACTCATTTTAGATGTTATTTTCTTTGCACTGTATTCGAACTGATTCACCTTTGTTTTCCTTGAATGGGTTAATAATGTGATTATTATAGCGAAAACAGTTGTACATTATGGTGGGAGTTATATAATCAATTCTGTGGTTAGTCTAACATTGCAACGAAATGGAGGAATATCTGGAATTCCATTTCGCCTGTTCGCCGAGCTTGGCAATTTGTTTGCAAACGTTTCATCACCAGCCGAGGTGACATCATCAGTGCTTGTAAAGTAGCCTATCTGCAATTAATGTGAGATAATTGGGTCAGAAAAGTTCCCCTGAAGAAAGGTAGGCAGTTTCGGGATAACCAGAAGTTGTCCAAACATGATGATTGTTTGATTGGTGTAGTCTATCGTCCCCCATCACCCCCGGAGAAGGCCAATGAGACGCTTTTACTAACTATGTCACACATTCTTACACAAAAATTCACCCATGTTCTCCTTATGGGTGATTTCAACTGCCCCAATCTCAAAAAATCAGCTACCGCCCATTTTTCGAACATCATTTCAAACGGCTGATTGACTCGCATCCACTATACAACCATGTGAAGGTGGCCACTAGGTTTGGCAACCTTCAGTCACCGTCCATACTGGATTTAGTGTTGACCAATGAGGAGCTGATGGTAGAGTCTGTCAATGTGACTTCTCCCCTAGGACGTAACGATCATGCAGTACTTACATTCAAATACATCTTTTATGCATCGATTTAGGGAAGTTCCTCTGGTAACACGCGCAGATCTATAGACTACACACTGTTGAATAACTTGACGCTCTCTGCTCAGTGGGTTTCTTATGACGAAGGATGTAATCCGTTGGTCGCATGGAAGAAATTTATTTACAGTCTCACAAATATAATGACATCCGTGACTATAACTAGAGTAATCACCAAATCCGGCATCCGAAATTAACCTATTCGAAGCCGCACAAGGAAATGGCTATCGGCGAGGGACTTATCCTGGCGAGATTATAACCATCTTCCGAATGCTGTCACACGGAATAATTACCGTATGCTGAGGAACTACTGCACCAGGCTGATTCGTGAGGGTAAAGTGAAATACCAAGAGGCGCTAGCACAAAAATTCATTTCTAACCCTAAGCTGTTGTACCAACACGTCAACTCCATTCGGAAAGTAAAGTTTGGTATACCGGCACTAAGTAGCTTTGGAAAAGTTGCAGCCACTCCAACGGAAGCAGCGGAAATGCTGAAAATTCATTATCCCAACGTACTCGCAGCACCGCAGGTTGAAGGTTTACAACTACACCACCGGTAGCATCATCTTCCACATCCTTCACTCACCTACGCATCATTTACTGCTGAAAATGGCAAAGCAAAACTAATGACTTTGCAAAAAAAAATGCAACCCCAGGTGCGGACAACATATACCCGAAATTTCTGATCTTTTTGGCAAATCACATATCCGAACCGCTAGCTATTTTGTTTCAACGAATGTTCTACCAGGCAACACTCCCCGAATCGTGGAAACAAGGAGTCATTTCGCCCATATACAA